ATTACCATTATATTATGTGAAGTATGATCAAATAGCATAGAAAGAAAGAGCATTTTTTTCTCTATCATCCTGTGTAAAAAGAAATTTTTATCAAGCTTACTAAGTGGTACTAAAATGTCGTTGCCACTACTTTTGGATACCCCTAAGTAATAATAACAAAACAAAAAAGAAATTAAGACAAAAATTTTATCTTTATGTTGTATAAAACAAGTATATAAATTACATTGAGATTGAAAAGTTATTTACAATCTGAATTCTCAATTTCTGTTAAACAATGAGTAAAAAAACCCATCTTTTAGAATATATCAAGTTTATTTACACTATAATTTGATATAAAATAACAGAAAATTTGAATAAAAATATTCGCAACAATAAAAAGAATTACAGAACTAGAATATTTATCAATAAATATTTAATAATGAGTAAATAGCCTTGCTTATTCATTTAGATCAGAATTCACATTATTACTTTCTTGTGGTTCACTGGTTGTAATTTGAAGATTATTACTAATGAGTGAACAAACTTCTTTTATATCTTCGACTGATTTATTAGTTGATGATTCTGTTGATACTGTTGTACTTTCATCTTTCTTTTTATAAGAATCAGACCATTGTTCAATTATAATTTTAGGTGGAACATTATTACCAAAAGCTGAACATAATTCTTGATGAATAGTATGTGCATCAATATGTAATGCAGTACGAGTTTTTACATAAAAACGGAAACACTTTCCATTAAACTAAAATAAAATAGAAAGTTACTAATCGTATAATTAAAATTGAGATATAAAATAAACTCATATTGTTTTAATACGATTAGAGATAATTACTTTAGTAGAAGAATTTATTGAATCATTTACATCTTGGTATTGGAATAATTTTGTATTTTGATTTTTAAAATCAAGCACTCTACGATAAAGTATACCCAAAATTGATTGAGATTGATATGAATTTTTTTTCATTAGAAAATCTGGATATTTATTGCCAACAGTATTTCGAATTTTGTTTTATACGATTTTTATCTATTTGATATCCTGTTTTACCAGAATCGACTAAAATCAATAAGTAAAATATAATATATAGTCTAAAATAAAATTATAAATTTACTAGCAGCAGAGAACATATTTGCCATTTCAATAGCTAATTTTTGACATGTACGTTTTGAATGTTTTTCCAGGTTTTGATCAACAACAATAGCATGTAAATTATAAATTTCACCATAACTTGTAGCACCCAATAAAGAGAAACAATGATTTATAATATTATTTGCAGTAATAGGCATCGAAGAAACATTTGGTGATTCTACTTTATATTCAAGAGGTTCAATTGTTTCAGCAATTTGTAATTGTTTACCCCAATAAACCTTTGAAAAAAAAATAATAATAAAAGGTTCATAAATGGAAGAAAAGAAAAAGAAACAAAACTTACAAAGTAATGATCACCATCAAGATCAGATCCAGCAATTTTATTACAATCTGGTCCTATATGAAATTATACTTTAAAGAGAATCATAAACATTTATAATGACTTACGATCGCCTTCAGTTGAAAAGACAATGACATCAGTGAGACAATCAAGTTCTGGTAAATCAACAGCTTCCAATTTCATAATATCACCGGCATAAGGACTAGAAATAAATTTTTATTACTTAAATTTGAAAAGACAAATCAAAACTATACCAAGGATTTTTTGTAATGATAACTGATCCAACAACTGTTTTAAATTCTGGTTTTCTAAGTGGTTTTCCATCATCATCAACAACTTGATATCGAATAAAACATTGTCCTGCTTTAAGTTTTGATTCTAATGTACAACCAAACATATATCGACATTCATTTACAGGTAAAGGTAATTTGTTCTTCAGAAGATCTCTGTAAAAAAAGAAAAATGATATTTTTTTTCAATCAAAATAAATTAAATATATATTTACTGTTTATTACGTAGTGGTTGTTTTTTATTGGTAAACCATTTATCTTGTAATTCAAGAAATATTGAGTCAACTATGCCAAGATCCGATAATAATGTAATGATTTGATTGTTAAGTCGAGTTGGAACTATAAAAAAAACAAAGATATTAAAAATTGAGCATAAAGAAAGAATAAGGTGTACTCGGTCGACTTTCTTCACATATATCTAAATCCCATTCATCATAGTAGAATTTTCTCATTGATGGACGAAATTTAATGTAGAATTGGTCTAAAGTAGACTCAGGATCGATGATAACTACACCTTTACAACCAGCCATTCGGATTTGATAAGCCGATGGATATAGTTCCTAATTAAAAAGAAAACAATAGATGAAATCAAGAAAAATAATAATAAACAGAGAAAAACATATACATTTTGTTCATATTTAATAAGATAATCAAGTTTTTCAGCAACTTTTCTTGCTAAACCTTTGGAAATCAATCCAATTCCGTCTGTGAAATAATATCCATTTCTTTCTATATCTTCCAATTGTGTTACACACATATGTCCTTGTTGAACTTTTGAATTGAATTCTTGTAGATCCGAAATGTAAGTGAGTTTAATCTTAAAGAATCAATGTTTCACTTATAGATCATTATTAAAAAACAACTAAAACTATTTACCCCACTCGGATAACTCTTCGTAAACCATAAACCTAATCGTGCTAGATATTTACCAATATTATTATTATTACAAAAATCACCTAATAGTTGTCGTTTTTGATGAGCGTCTTCCAAAGATCTTGCTCTTATAAACCAATAGCTTCGTTCACGTAGTTGAGAATTCGATGCACCAAAAAAATAGTAATGATTATTGCAAATTTCAATGCCTGATTCGAAAACTTTTCTATATCGATTGCACATATTAATATATTTGTCTGATGGATCGGGTTTCAAGTATACAAGACAAAAATCCTTAGTACCATTAAAAGCTTGATGTCGAAGAGCACAATGTCCTTGTGTAGACTCTAATGGCATAATATGTGTTGAAGTCGGAGTAACATGAACCGTAGCCACATGATATGTTTCAGTTTTGTCCTTAATAAAAAAAAACAAAAACAACTTGAGAATTTACTTTTTTTTAATATTTTTTATAATTATCTTACTGAATTTTCTATATCATTTTTAAGAAAATCGTACATAGAATTGAATTCTTCATCATTAAAAACAGTTGTTAAATCAAATGAATTATTTGTTTGAAGTTTTTTATAAGCATGTAGTGCCAATTGATAAAAACATTTATCATCTCGTTTAGCTAATTCGATCATTACGTTTCGAAGGTTTTCATTAGTTGAATAAGTATTATGGAATACTGAACCAAGTGAATGAAGCAATTCAATAGCATATTGAGCATCGAATGTTGAAAATTCATTTATAAAAGATCTGCATGACATGATGAAAATACTACGAAAAAATTAATAATAGAAATAAAAACTTAAATTAAATTGTACGTGATACTCCAACAATATTTATAACCCAAATATCGCACCTAGTGAGTCATCAGAAATGACTTGGAAAATTCCAATATATTTAAGCAAATAAAACATGATATTCATTGACTATTTTGCATAGCCAATGAATCTGCATTATATGTTAGTTGGTTTATTTTCATAAAGTTGTTTGCAGTTTTTTTTTGTTTAGGGACCGAACGGAAGAAAAGAATTACACAAGATGTGTGAAAGAACGCTTTCTATGAAAATTTCAAACAGAAATACTCATAACAACAAATATTTTTACAAGAACAGCATGTGTTGTTTTTTGATAGAAAGTCAAATTTTAATCTAAAGTCAATACTGTGTTTTTGTGTATGTTGAGTAGTCAACTTTAAATACGATTATTATTCGTAATTTTTATTTTTATTTAAAATAATAGAATATGCATTTTACGATTGAATAAAAAAAAATATTTTTCATAGCTTGAATTTACTGAGTGCGACATGATAATTTATGTAACTAGAGTCTTATGACAGAAGTAAAATGCTTGAAGAATGAATTGATCAGTATTCTTTTTAAATATCTGCGACTTTTTCTCTTAAATGAATTTTCAGAATCTATAAAACTTGCTATAGATTACTTTTGTCAATGAAATTTGTTCCTTAGCATTTAACTTTTCATTTTGATTTTATCAAATAACTCTTTATTTATAACATGATGACATTTGTTTCTTATAATACATATTATAAAACTTCATGCTTTTTATTGATAGTACTTTTAAACTTTTTATGTATTAGTTAATCATTATTTAAGTAATTGCATTATACTATATCATTCCAATTTTTAATTGTTTTCAACATTTAAGATTTATATCATAAAACAGCAATAGTAGAAAAAAATTCAGACCAATCTTTTTTTGTTATAGGATCCTTTTTTAGACGATTTGAAATAGACAATC